CACAGCAGTGAACCCAGCGGCAGGAACAGCCAGGTCAGGCACAGGAGCCCCAGAAGAAAAACCGGGGTGGGAGGGTGGGTGAAAAAATCCACCAGGAGCCGCTTCTCTTGGAGGACGAAACTTTGAGAGAATAGCTTCAGTCTCAGCCATGCTTCTCCTGCATCGCAGGGAAATCTCAGACATGTCCCCAAAAAATCTTTGAGCCTGCAGGCTGGGTACTTGGTCGGTTCATTTTGTCAAGATTAGCAGGAATAAACCCAGGTTGCAGGCAGGCTCCGAAAATAGAACAAAAAGTTTATTTAAATAACAGACAAAACTGCTAAAGAGGCAGCTCAAACTTACAGGTATCATGAGGATCACACAAGCAGTGGGAACATACTGTAACACAATTAACCGACACCAGACTGAGACAAGACAGGACTTAAATACACTGACGACTAATGGATGAACTGAAAACACCTGGTGAGAAACACGAGGGTGACAATCAGAATAATGAGGAGCAGCTGGGCTTAGACACACTGGGGAACATAGAAACACTATAGGAAAACCAAGGTGAAAACTGACAAACCATGACACATGCTGGGAAAAGGAAAAAAAAAAGAAACTAAAAGTTTTGGTTGGATCATAAATCAAAAAACAACAGAAATACAAATCAATAACATAAATGTTAGTCCAACAATACCAGTACCAGTCATACATCCATGGATATTTGCAGAACCATCTGTAGATCTGAAACTATTAGGAAAAAAAGGAAAAATTAGTAATATAAACTCAAATACAGTCATAGATTATATTAACCAATAGTATGGATATCTTCAAATATATACAGACGCATCAAAAAATACAGTAGATCAAGTCGGAGCAGCATTCATAGTACCAGAATTCAAAGTAAAAGTAGGGAAAAGGATCAGTGATAAATTATCAGTATRTACAGGAGAAATGTTAGCAATATTATTAGCTGTTCAATGGATTGAGGATAATAAACCACTCAGATCAATAATTTGTTCAGACTCCAGCTCTTCATTTACCAGTATAAAAAATAATAGCTCAGAAAGTAGATCAGACATATTATTTGAAATACAACAAACACTGTACAGGATTAAAATGATGGGGTTAATAGTAACATTCATCTGGATACCAGCACACATTGGAATAAAGGAAATGTAATGGCAGATAAAGAAGCAAAAAAGGCTACCAAAAATAAAGTAGTTGATATTCAAATAAAATTCAGTAAAACAGAAATAAAAAGCATTATAAAGATGAAAATGAGACAGAAATGGCAAAAACAATGGGAGGAAGAAAGAAAAGGTCGATGGTTTTATAAAATTCAACGGAAAGTGGGAGAAATGAGG